ACTATGGCACCAAGCTTCTATCACACAATAGAAAAATGTCGAATTACCTACTTTCTAGAATCATGTATGTATGTCGGAGTGTGGTTCAGTTCGACACTGGGGCTAATTTCTATCGATCATTCGCAGTTGATTCTTCTCTCCGACTTGAGTTGTATTTCTTCTTCTTCGTCTGCTTGGGCTGGTAGTTTTCCTGTTTCAACTTGGTGGAAGATTTCTTGTTTCAACTTAGCCGCAACTCTCTGTCGTCTGAGGTGGTCTCTTCTCACTGCCGTCCGGAGCTGAACTTTAACTTCTCATCGACTTTCGGCTTGTCTGCAGCTCCAATTCTTCTCAGGCTTTCAGGCAATCTTCTTCTTCATCTACTTGGGCTGGAAGTTCTTCTTGTCTGAGGGTTCTTTTCTCGCTGCCGTCCGGGGATGAACTGATTTTTTGTCGATTGGGGCCCTGCTTTTTATTGACGCCGCAACAAACTGGGGTGGGTCTGTCGGCGTCAGGGTTTTCTCGATAATTCCAAAAACTGCATTAATTCTGTCTTCTCCATTATCGCTATTGTTTTCGCCCTACTTCCTCGCAGTACCTTTGGTGGGGCGGCGCACATCCATCTCTCTTAGTCTCTCGTATGTCAGGTGACCGCTTTTCAACCAATCGTTCCTGATTGAGCATTTCTTTCCCTTTTCTTCCGCAAGTCACGTGATCGTATTCGACCAATTGTTATTGGTCGAACATCCTCTCCCCTCTGTTTGCGGGCGTGGTTACATCGTTCTTGTTTAAAAAAAACAAAATCCAATTTTTCCCTTTTTGCACGTACGCAAAATGACAATCTTTGGCTTTCTCTCACCTGGACTTTGTCAAACAGCCCGCTGCTAATTAGTCTTGACTTTAGAAAGGATCTTTTCCGCCTTCTTGGCGCCCTCTGTGAGCCAAAAGCAATTGTCCCTCTTTTTACCTCTTTGTTTTTCCTGATAGTCGAAAATCTTAATTATCTACATTGAAATGTCTCTACTTTATTAACGTGGGTGTCCAATTCTTAACAGGTCAAGATCTGTATATCGTTCCACCGGTAACTCCCCTCAACCCAAAGAAAATTTCGTTTCTATTGTTCTAAACCAAATTGATAAGGAGTCTCTCCACGCAAAAGTCGGTCAGATGCTTTGACGATATCTGGTCTACATCAGCGGCCCGTTTTGATATCATGTCCTTTTTTCCTTTCTTTCTTCTTATTATTTATAATTCTATTCTTCCAATTGTCTTTCGAAAATCGGCCAAGACGCTGACCTAAATCTCTTTCTGACTCCTATCTCCACCCTCAATTGGGTCATGCATCATACAACTCTTTTTCTCTCTTCTTTCTTTTCTTTTTTTTCTTTTCTTTCCTTCTTCTTCCCTTAAGATCGTCTTAGTGAATTATTTTCAACTCAGTTATTTTCCGTTTTTAAAAAAAAAATCAACAACCTGTTTAGTAACCGAGTAAGAAAAAATTAAATCATATTTCTATGAATATTTCTAATAATGCAAGGTGCCACACCATGAATAAAAAAAAATGACATGGAATTTTTTGAACAGACAATGAGAAAAGGAGGTCGTGAGAAACGTAACCCTCAAAGAGCGTGTCGAGGTCACGAGAGATAGAGGCAATCAAAGGTTAACAGTTGAGCTTGGCAATAGTGAGAAACACTGTTCAGAGCCACAAGAGATAGGGAGTTTTATTTGAGCCCTGAAACCCCACGCCAGTAAATTACACGATAGATACACCTTTGGGCCAATTAACTGAAAAACAAACGAATAATTCCGTTACAATTAACTTTTACTTCTATCTTTCCAATGAAACAAGCCCAAGTGCACATGTTGCTACTTTGTATATCCATTCCACAAAGTCGTTACTTGCAGATTGACCACAGATTCTCAATTGGATTTACATCAGGAGAGTTTCCTGACCAGTCTATAGTACTTTGATTTGCTCACTGGTAAGGCTTGCCAGTGTGTTCGTGCAGCGTTATAATTTTCGTACGCTTCCATGGAGTAACGTCCATCGCAAACAATGTCCATAGGACAACTATTCTTCAGTCGAAACAATAGTGTCTTGCGTTATAAAAATCTGATGCAATCACGGATGACGCAATATTTTTAAAGGCTAAACAAATTTTATCGTACATCCCGAAAATAGATTCATATTACTGCACACCACTGCAAATGACCTAATCGATTACACCCTATCACTCCAGTCGGTTTAAAACTGACCGTATAGTGAATGAAAAGAAACTAAAACGGTTGTTTCAATTAATTTGCAAAAGGGTGTAAAAATAGAAGTTATAGGTAAACATTGGTCGATTCATACTTGAGCGTACCGGAATTATACTTTATTTCTTATGCTGTTTATGCTTGAGAGGGGATGTGCAGTGTAGTGCAATGTATAACGACTCACAATTAGAAATCGGAGAGTCGAGTTCGAATTCCAATTGGGTTCTTTAAAATCACATATGCGCAAATAGCCTCGGGAAAAGTACGGGGACTTTTCTGTTATTTCACCCCCAAAATTTAATTCAGCATAAAATAAAGAAGATTCTATATTTACGAACATTCACATGAAAATTCATAAATATCATTTAAATATCACAAAGCTGGAAATGATTCCTCTCAAGTTCATAGTGGCTATATTCTTTGACCATAAATAATATGATTTTATGGTAAGGAAGTTGTGACCCTTTTAGTCAGTTTCCTTCTCTTAGCGGCTTCTCTTCAATTAGACGGCAGAAGAATCTATCCTGTCAGTCTGTTAAGCTCAAACTAGTATCAGGACATTTAGAGCAAGTTTCATCAACGTAGGAAGAATATTTACTCTCTGTAAGAAACGAAAACACCACTCTCCTTGTCGTTGCATTCTTTTATTAACGCCAGGAAATTCATGGCATGCGAAACAAATTTTGATTTAAAATTTATAATTTCTTGGGGTAAATTAATATTTTCGAGAATTTTAAATTATTTGGCGTGAATTAACAGAAATGATCCATCTACACTCCAGCTATGGTTGGAATCGCAAGAAAGAATGGGTCCTATACTATTGTTTGACCACCAGTCGACCCCAGAAAGAAATGGCAATCTACTGCGAGAAAACATTCTGCCCTGTCAGACATGAGTCGAAAGAGACATACACGATAGCCTAATGATGTGTCACTTATGGCTGACTGAGTGATGTTTGAAAATGTTTGCCACTCATGAGCAACTATTTTCAAACAGAGGGCCGTACAACTAAAAAAAAAAGAAATAATTTTTCATTAATGATACAACCGCCATTTTCTTCTATGAAACATATTTTCTTTTATGAAAGAAAATATATCCGTTAACAACCCCCCGGGAGATGATATGAATTAAAAAGAAAATCCTTTATTAATCCACTTTTTCTCTTCCTATTCTACAACAAACAAAACGAGAATAGAAATATTGAGAAATGAATTATACTGTCTTTTGTGCACCTCCCTACAGATTAAATGCTTCCGGGTTGCAATAGATATAGGAACATTGATGCTACATTTTTGTAGAGAGGGCTGTCCGTTTTCAGGATCAGAATTTCAAGGCTTCCACTGATTATGATATTCTCGTGTTACCAGATGGCAGGAATAGTTTACGTTGATAATATCTCTTCCATTAGAAAAGAGTTATATATATATATATATATATACTATCAGCATGGCCCGGCGTTGCCCGTGCTTGATTCAAAAATCGTACGACTCATACAGCAATCGCTATCACTTGACTTAAAATATTTTTGCCCTTCCTTGCCTTTAAAGGAGTGTCCTTTGCCATTCTGATGTTGCTACATGCCTTACTTCTTGACTATCTCACAGTGCGAATTTTTCTAAGCTTTATACTAAACATTAAATATGTTACGAAAAAAGAACTAAACAAAATGAACACAAAACGATCAGCTTTAAAAAAGGACTCGTAACTGGAAAAACCGAATGGAAAAAGAATGTTAACAAAAATACTTTTTCACACCCAACCCAGTTCAGCGGAATCATAATCAACGTTGAGTTTAAGCGAGCGAATGAGCCAATTGGAGTAAAGTGACATGCAGATTTAAATTTTTCCCACTTGTGAGGAATGCAGCTATTGATTATTTTTTTTGCTTTGGTAGCATGCCAGTTAACATTCGTGTCAGTCAGCTGTTGATTCTCACGCTGGATAATAGAATCTTCCTGCCTATTCGTGGCAGCCAGCTATAGGCTCTCACTCTGGCCAATAGAAAATGGGCGCAAACTACATGAAAACTGCTGTAGAAGCATGAAAAAATCGATTATTTCCCCTATCGATGGGAGTTGGTAAATGCAACGTCGGTCTTGGCCTTTCCACTAACTTGGAGCATGTGCATGTAAATTTTGGTGCAGATCCATCGGAAATTGCGGCCGTGCATTCGTTACACACACACACATCCTGCCTTATATATATATAAAATATATATATATATATATATATATATATATATATATATATATATATATATTTATATACAATGTACAACAATGTTGCATTTGTTTATTTAATATTTCTTGTGTTTTATCATTTTCTTTTCTGGACGTAAATTATGTAGAAATTCTCCGAATATTCAGTATGTCTGATCGCTTTCGGCTACACTTTTAGCCATTATCAAGGATCATTTTATTCCTACATTTTTTTTTTACTAATAATGCTTCGATTATTTTTTATTTTTCTTTTATATGTGGTTGAGGCTATTCGTATAATTTCTATATAATTTATATCTCAAAAAGGATTAAATTATAAGAAATATTAAAAAATAAAATTAAACGCCGTTCCGTTTCGGTCGTTTTTGATGAAGCCTCTATAAAAGATCGATTGCTTTTGAAATACGCAATGATGTTCTTGTTTTACCTGTACAGATTTCAGGCTCGAATCAAGTTTTCTTATTTTTAACAAGGGTTGTGACCGGCTATAATAAATGCCATATCTTTTGAAGTGGATGCTAAACGTTCAGAAAGATAGATCCTATGTCAGGCGTAAATTTCTTTGTGATATTTGCTTTTAGCCAAATATTGTTGACATACTGCATTAGGTTAGGCCAATCATTCAAGTGGACATTGATTGTTTGCCTTTCAAAAATGTGTCGACATTAATATTCCGCGCGCTAAAACATCAGCCTCTGGCAACGTTATTTATCTTATTTGCAGGTCAAACGCCTACAGTTAACTTATCTTTAAGAATTCGCCGTTTAAAGAAACAGTGCTTTTGGGTGTTATTATTACATAACACAAATTGAGATAAGATTTTGAAACGCTATTTTAAACAGTGATATGAAAGCGAAAGATATTACCAAACAAATTTAACAAAGTAAATGCGTAAGAAACTAAGGTGTTTGTGCATGTTTTGTTTAATAATAAGACTGTAATACTGTTGTGATCATGTAAATGGTTAAGGAAATAACAAAACATGTGCTACAGATATATTATACATTAAACAGTAAGTACAACAGAAGAGCATTATACGACTAGTGAGTGTGTGTCGCTTGACCGGGCGTTCAATCTATCCGACTGTTATATTTAACCCCGCCACGCGAGGTATGTATGTGGCAGAAAGCCGAGTTTGCCGTGGGTTCTTCGAGTCCGTAGGCTCGGCCAAAAATATTCGCTTAGAAGTCATATAAACGAGTTCAGGGTCTGTCTACCTCCTCGGACGAAACTTTACCCTTCGGCAAAGCCTCGTTCGAGTTCCTCTCTGCTCAAGGCAGGGAGTTTGACAGTAACGATTAATCTATTCGACTGGAATGTATGCGGCACAAGGCCAAGTTTAACGTGGGTTTCTCCGAGCCCCTAGACGGGTTCAGGGACTGTCTACCTCCCCGGACGAAACTTTGCCCTGCTTCAAAGCCTCGTCCGAGTTCATCACTGCCGAGGCAGAGAGTTTTACAGAGTTTTACATGTATGAGACTCTTACTCCAAGGCCTTCTCTCCTACTAATCTTATAGTAGGCGGAAGAGTCCAACATAGACTCTTTAGAGGAAGGACACCACAACAAATACTAAAAAGAATTCTCAGAAAGAACTTGTCTCAGCTGAAATCTCTTACATATTTAAAGCGATATGACTGCTTCTAGTTATCCAGAAATACAAGGCTCAAGATACTCTCAAGCTAGAGGGATATTGATTGATTGATTCGTTTTATGCGGCTTGTAAACTCATTGTAGGTTATTTAAAGCCAAAAAAATATTTTTAGATTTAAGAATATTTTTAATGATAAAAATGAATTGGGAATATAAATCTTATTAATTAACCCGTAGATGAGGGCAGAAGTGTTGAATTTTTCCAGGGTGTTTGCGTGCAAATGAATATAATGAACCCAACAGGAAATGGAACCAGGCTCTCTGGTTAACAATTTCCAGTCATTTTTCTTTACACCACCTTCACATCCAAAATTACAGCACCTGGTATTCCATCTGTTCAGGTTCCATTTTTGCTTAATTTTGCTGATCGTACGTGAACAGGCGTTTCAATGTAATATGTCCGTTCGGCTGTCGCAAACTGAGCATGAATAGGATGTAAGTATAAATTATTGCGGATATGTCAGTTTACCCGACAGTTGAAGAGGTAAAGAAATCATTGATGTAAAATGCATCCTCTTGGAGGTCTGTTCAACAAAATAATGGGAAAAAAGTTGGACTTTCTTCTTACGAAACTCGACCTTATGTACAAGCCATGGTGGGTCTTAGATGTAAAAGTCTGAATTGCTAGAACTAAATAATGTAGTTGATCAGAAAAAAAAAATTCTTGGAAATAGCGATAGAGAGGCCTACGGAATTTCGGCTCTGGGAAAAAGGACTTGTAGAGTTGAAAAGAATTTTTAATTCTGTCATGTCTGGGAAGGGATTGGACCGCTCAAGACCATGTATCGGGTAGCGGGTACTACACTTTTGGTCTGATTTGATTATTGTAAAAATAAAGCATAGTAGGAAGGGTAAGACACTTTCGGGAGCAGTAAACGAAATAAATTACAGTTAAAAATATATCGAATGTCTACTCAAATATGGGTATCCTTTAAAAATAACGTTTAAATTTATATATATATATATAAACATATATATATATATATATATGTGAAAAGTGTATATAAATATAAACAAATATATATATGTATAATTATTTATATATTATATGCGCGGTACTTATTAGAAAGCGCTCAATATCAGAGATAGAGCTAACATTTCAACATACAAATGCGTATGTATCGATATAACACCACCCGCATACATACATGTGTCATAGCCGAAACTGCCCACATATATATGAGTCCCGACGGACGACCAAGTGTGTATATGTGTCTGCATACATCGATGTTTGCGTTAGTACGATGAATGACAAAACGAGGAAGTTTCCCCCACCACTTCCACAATAACACCAATACACGCAATCTACATAAACCCACATTTTTTAAAACATTAATCAGTTTGTCTGACGATCGCTAAAGCGTGAAACCCAGGGTCACAAACTCACATCTATCCAACCAAATATATATATATATATATATATATATATATATATATATATATACCTAGTGAGCCAGACAAACCTACCTAGGTTTCACCTAAACGGATCGTCAGGGAAAGTTTGGCTGACGAAATTTTCCCTGGCGATCCGTTTAGGTGAAACCTAGGTAGGTTTGTCTGGCTCACTAGGTGATTCTAGGTCTGCTCTACGGTTGTATTGAGCCCTTTTGTTAGTTAGTTGTTTACTCGTATCGGGGTTTTTTCTTTAGGCTCCAGACCTGCATCTGTGCGATTTTTTGTCGACAGAAGTTCATGTTTGTAGCTCTTTCTTTTTTTAAAACCTTTTTTTCCCTCGAGATTGATTTGATTAGCAAATAAAAAATTCGAGGGTTTTTCGAAACGTGTCTAGTTATCTATCTATCTATCTATCTATCTATCTATCTCTCTCTCTATATATATATATATATACAGTACAGTTAAAAAATCTGAGGTAATTTTTAACATTGGATCCAAATAGATATTACACGATATTTTATATATGATATTTTATTAGAAATTTTATTAGGACAAAAAGAAAAAAAAATATGATTAAATTTGGCTCTTGTCAAAATATATTCCTTTTGCCTTGATTATTCGTTCCAAAATTTTCTCAAAGTACAAGTTTGTTAATTGAATCGATTCTTTTTTCAATTATTCTAATAGATCGATTGAATTGTAATAAATTATAACCATGGAATATTAGAGTTTGAGCCTTTTATATTATATTCTTGCACAGTCCTGGACATTGAGTTCTACCTGGAGTCTATCCTCTTGGAAATATGTATATATATATATAATTTTAATTTAATTGCAAAATTAAATTCGGGGTTTTTAGCTTCTATTTTTGAAACATGAAATTTCAAGAGGATAGAATCCAGCTGAGCTTTTTCATTATATATATATATATATATATATATATATATATATATATATATATATATATATATAATAGACTCTCTCGTCGGTTTCGACGTATGAGGATCTGGCAGCTTATTGATTCAGTTATGAAAGATTGTGCGATAATCTTCAGTGGCATTTAAGACCCGCTAGTGATTTATAAAGGAGGCCACATACGGAGCAAGTGTGAGGATTATGAGATGAGATCACTGTTTGATCGGCTGACCTTTTAGATCTTGCTCTTGCTTCTTGAACATGATTCAGACAAGTACATTGAAAATTGCTGTCCACTAAAACACGTTGATCTCCATTCTACCCGCTCGAAGGCTAAGGGCTCCAAGGGTGTTTATGGTATATTGACTGCTGATAGTTGCTTTTCAGCTTGTCTTTGTATCTTAACCATGGGCCTCCTACATTTCTGTAGCCCTGATCTAACTGGCACAGGATCATTAGGATCATGGTTATTCTCTTTCAGACATTCTCAAAACATGATCAGTCCACCGTAAATGAGATTGTATGATAAAAGTCTCGATTCCTCCAATATTGCACCTGTTAAACAGGTCTATGTTAAACAGGTCCCTATCTCGAAGCTTACGCAGACAGCTTTTATGGAAAACATCTAGCTGCCGTATATGGTACCTGTATGGAGTCCACGACTCTGAGTCATACAAAAGGATGGCAAGTAGAACAGTTTTGTAAACCCGAATTTTCATATCCAGTCGAATACCGCGCTCATTCCACAAGCGATGGCGAAGTTTGCCGAAAGCACTGGTGGCCTTAACAATCCAATGCATGATTTCATCATTTAAAGTACCACTGTAGTTGACTTTGCTACCAAGATAGGTGAAAGACTTTACATAGTTCATGGCTTTGTCTTCTACTTTCAATAGTCTCTCTGGAAATTTGTAGACTGGTGGTTTTTGTTTCTCACAACGCATTTGCTTCGGAGTAGGACAACTTCAGTTTTCCTTATGCTAAGTGTCAGAACAAATGCTTTACATGCAGCAGAGAAACGATGATTATTCGGTGTTGGACCTTCTCAAAGGATGTCGCTACAAGAGCCGCATCATCAGCAAACAACAAATCACGAAATATATATATATATATATATATATATATATATATATATATATATATATATATATATTATTTAAAAGACATTTTTATGTTTAACATTCTTTTTATCGATACAAGTATTTAAGTAAATGCTCTGTTTATAATAAACAGTATTAAGTAACATTTACCGACCTGAATGTCCGAGAAATTTTCATCGAAAATATTCGTCCTTTGACAGTATTCGAAACTGCATCCTATACGGAACCGTCATTTACGTTGACGTGCCTTAACCGACTCGGACACAAAGGAGCGTTCGGTCGAATTTTATTGCTTATAAACTTCAATCTTCCATGAATCTCGTACATTCATAACTGCTCATGGCGTATCAAATGTAAACAAATGACGTCATACATTAAGAATTTATTAAATAAATTTTAATTGTCGGACTTTGTCAATTCTTAATGTATATATATATATATATATATATATATATATATATATATATATATATATATGTATTTACCAGTAATATTATCAATATATATGTGTGTGTGTGTTCGTGCGCGTGTGTGTGTGTGTGTGTGTGTGTGTGTGTGTGTGTTGTTCGCGTGTGTGTGTGTGTGTGTGTGTGTGTGTGTGTGTGTAAATTCATATAAATCCATGTTCTCTTTGGAATCTAACTTGCATATTTCGGACTTCACCACTCTTCTTTTGCTGCCAAATATAGTCTGCTGCCCCCGACAAATATTTAGATATGACAATATCCAAAGAAGAAACTGTAATGTTATTTGTTCTGACCTGGCATCTCAATTTACTCCCCCTCCGCCGTAACCCAGCGTCCCTCTGCACATTCAATAAACATTTCCATGGAAATAATTCAAATGAACTTGATGAATATCAGCGCAGTACTAGATTGGCTGTAAGGTCTCATCATTTTACAGTTGAAATGGTTGGATTTAATCATAAGTTCTATGTTAACAGTTTCTCCTCTCGCACTTCCCAATCATCTGGCTTCTTGCTTACCATTTCAAATTTGATCTTCAGAAATTTGAGAGGTAAATCGTTATCTTCTGTATTCTTAATTCTTATTCGTTTATTGTTCTCTCTCGTTAATAATTTTTTTGTTTTTTTTCATATTCTCTAACAATTAGTAAACTTTTATGTCTTAGTGGCTTCATTATCTTTCTTGGAGTGAAATGATTTGAAAAATACTATAAAGAAAAAGAAGATAAAAAAGAATTATGAAAAGAAAGTAGTCGCCATCCATCCATTCGTGATAAGATGTGAAAAAAAGAATACATGACGACTTTTGAATTCATATTTTTGTATTTTATTACTATTATTAGTATTATTATTATTGACTTTTCCCGCGTTTCTTCTTATCCAGTTGCCATTTTTGCTTTCATTTCTGATATTTATTCATTCCTTATCTCATTTAACCATTCCTTCATTTTCATTTTTTTTGGTCGTCTCCTTTAATTTTTTTCTTCCTTGTCGTGATATATGCTTATGGCTTCGGCTATAAGATATAGTCATTCTCTTCTCTTTTAAATACTACAATACCGCCTGCAGCCTATGCATCGATGGATATTATTAATTTAAGCTAACCTCGTTTGTTCTTTCCTTTATTTCATTTACAATTTGTCTTGAAAATTTCAAAGGCCTAGAGAATATTTCTCATGCTCCTGACAATCACTCCTTTTATATAACATCTTTCACTATTCTTATTTGCCATATACCAGTTCTATAAAAAAGATTCACTTAGTTTCTTTTCTTGGTTTTTATTTCACTGTGTTAGTCATTTTAGTAAATTTATTTAAATTTTGCTTAGGTTCTGAAAAGCGTCTTTCGCTATTATCATTTACTATAGATCAGTGAAAATTCTATAAATATTTCCATGGAGATGTTTGTAATATACTTGATGAATTTCAACGGAATACTAGATTGGATGTAAGGTCTCATTATTTTACAATTGAAATCGATAGATATAAACATAAATTATATGCTAACAGTTTCTTCTCTCCAAATTCTCACTTGTTGAACAAAATTCTGGCTTCTTGCTTACCATTTCAAATTTGAACTTCAAAAATTTGAAATGTAAATCTTTATCTTCTGTCTTCTTAATTCTTATTATTTTATTGTTCTCTCTAATTAATAGATTTTTTTTCATATTCTTTAACACCTAGTAAACTCTTACATTTAGTGGTTTTATTGCCTTGCTTGGTGTGAATATTTATTTGACACTTGGTTTTATTTCTTTTTCGTTTTCTTTACTCTTTCAGTCATTTCCATAAATTTCCCTTAATATTTTGCTTAGGTTCTGAAAAGCATATTTCGCTATTTTATTAGCCCTACACAAGTTATCTGAAAAAGACGCACACTTTATTTTTGCTTTTTGTTTTACTCTGTTAATAATTTCTGTATATTTCTCTTAAAACCTTGCTTAAGTTCTGAAAAGCAGTTTCCTTTTATTATTGTCTGTACACTAGTTATATAAGACAGATTTACTGGATTTCATTTCTTTTGGATTTTGTTTTACTCTTTTAGTTACTTCGTTAAAGATTTATCTAATATGTAACTTTTTTTTGTGAACGCGTTACAGGTGCTGTTTAAGTGACTTCGTCGAATTTCATTGTCTGTGTTAAGAACTAATTCCATCACCTGACAGGTTTACTGAAAAAAAAAAATCTGTAACTGATTTTATTTCATTATCGGGACACTTTCTTTAAAAAACAAATAAGCCTCCTTTTCAACACTCCGATTACTAGCTTCACTTATATTAAATGGTCTTCATCTGCTATGGTATATTTCTTCCAAAATTCTCTGTGAGGAAATCTTGATTTATTTGAGAAAGATTTTGAAATATTCCAGAAACAATTATTCGGAAGAATTTAGTACAAAAGAGATAAAAGGTTCCTAAAAGATATATATATATATATATATATATATATATATATATATATATATATATATATATATATATATATACTTAGTGCACCAGGTCTCTGAATTCGGCTCTTTAAAAAGTGTGGCTGGTCTCGCAAAACCTTCACCATTATAATCAAATCTCATGTGTCGTTGTCGGGCTGTCGGTTTCCTGGGAACTGATCTGCTTGACCCTCATACGTCGAAATCGACAGGAGAGTCGATATATATATATATATATATATATATATATATATATATATATATATATATATATATATATATATATTCCCACCAGATTTATACAAACTACATATATCAGCAAAACGATGAAAAAGATAACTACAGATCCTTTAAGGATTTTTTTTTGTTGGCAAGACGATCCTAAAGGAAACATTATTAGTGGAAAAACTCTTCAAAGCATTAGATACGCTGATGACTCTGTGCTTACGACAGACAGAGAAACTGGCAGAACTTAATGAACATATAATAAAATTAAGAGGGGAATTGAGAAGAGAAGAAAAATTCATGGTCATTAGCGACATGGGGGGGTAACTTACGGGATATGTGAACATTTCTTTGTTAAAAAAAAAAGAGTATTCAACTGTTATGTCCTCTCTCCTTTACTCAGCGGAATGTTGGATCATCTCCACAAAGATGAATAAGAGACTCGAGGCGACGGAGATGTGTTTCTACAGAAGGATGCTGAGGATAATATTGGGCCGAGCAACGATGTGGTTTTGCAGATTATACAAACGAGGCTTATACTTAACATCAGGAAGAGGCTGCTGAAGTTTCTGGGACACGTAATGAAGAAGGAAGTCCTCGAGAATATGATACTCACAGGTCGAATAGAAGGAAAGAGAGAGGAGGAAGGCAACGCATGACCTATCAGGCGGGATAAATCTAGTGGATAACAGAACGTGGTCTGGGGAAAGTGGCAGAAGGACGAAACTTATTGAGAGCGACAAGTGATAGGGATGAAGTGGTCCTAAAAGAACACAGCACATGCATGAATGGAAATTTAATTCGGAATATTCTGGGAATTATTATAACAGACAGTGTACAATTTGGCACAGAAATCCGAAGCCGAGCTATGATTTCCAAAATCGAATAGACAGAATATATTCGAATAATATACTTGTGTTCAACTGCAATATAATATCAATCCTCCAGTATGACAGTCAATGGTAGTCAGATTTTTCACACCTTGATTGACTGATTAAGTGATTTGTATTCTAAGATCATATGATGATATTTTTTAGATAATAATGGTTTAGTGAAGAATGTCTTACTAATTAATCCATAGCTGGGGAAGAATGTTGAATTCGCACCTTTTCCAGCGATATCTGCGCGCGTAAATGAATATAACGAACCCAACAGGAATTGGAACTCGGCTCTCTTTATTAACAATTCCGAGCCGTTATCCATTACACCAGCCGGACATCCATCTCCACAAAACCAGGTTTCTCAAGTGATAACCCCTCAGGTACTGACCAGGCTCGACCTTGCTTAACGGGTGATCATACAGCAACCTGTCTTTCAACATCATATGTCCGAAAGTTGACTGGATGCCATATAGATATTCTATTATAGAAAGGTGCTCAGAATACCACTGGCAGGACATATGGGCCACGTGGAGGATTTGATTAAAATGCGAATGGTAAGAAAGTATAATTTGAATCAGAAAGGGACAGTTTTAACTGCTGCGAGCTAATCTGGAAAGTGGGCCTGGAGAATGTAACACGCACAGGATATATTGAAAGCAAAAGGAGCAACGGGAAAATGACAGTATTCAACCTAACGAACTAGTGTAAATTATTGGTAGAACATGGTATGCAAGTGATTGTTATTGGCTAAATATTGCTTAAATCTACAAAGACAGGAAGCTGCGGCGAGCCGACGACGTCTGCGTCTTCAAATGTCATAGCACATAAGAGAAGCAAAAGCATATTCTCCTCTTCTAGGTTTTGTGTGGTCTTCGTCGCCGTTTTGTATCTTTTCTCTATATTTCGCTCTTTCTACTGACTTCCATTTGTAAAGCCATTATCACATTATCAAGTGTCTAGTTTCTTTTACTGCGTTTTCTTATTTCCTCTATGTCCCTTTGTTTACTAAGGTAGACGTGTCTACTTTGTATCATATTTTGTATGTCTTCATCTTCTTCCCGCTTTTCCCTATATTTTCTTTGAAAAGACATTAACGCTACCGTTAATATCTTAAACCACTTGTACTTAACCCTTTTCTGTCTTTTCAATGCAAAAATATTTCCATTTATTCTTTTTTTTTTATTTCTATCCTCATATCCCCGTCTATCTGTTGACATATTTCTTTCTATTTCACAGTTTCTCGTTGTTTTATTTCAAAGCCATTACCGTTCTATCTCTTGGCCAATCATTTTACTCTTTCTCTTTCGCAATCTCTCCTTGTTTCTGTCTATATATCTGAGATGGGGTATTTTCATTATTTATACTATATTGTTCGGACTGTTGTCCTTTTCTTTGTTGCCATATCCACGAAGTTTTAGTCGTTGTACGCCCAGGTCTTCTTCAGGTGATTGGAATTTCTTTATTTCGTCCACCGGGGTTGATAGTTCTGGTTCCACGTATCATGACTCTTTTGAATGTATCCGTATCAGTTATCTCCCTTAAACTCAACTCACCAACATTTTTGTTCACCTCAGCCGTAGCAAGGTATCGAAATTTTAGGTTAAGTCACTGGATTCAATCAACACTTTTATAACAGGACCATGTTTGTCCTTGTTTGTCATTCAAAGTTATTCTTCTCTCTCTCTCTCTCTCTCTCTCTCTCTCTCTCTCTCTTTCTCTCGTCATATTTCTTTTCTTCTTTCTCTTTCTCAATTTCCTTTCTTTCTTAAGTTTCACTTTTCATCATATTCTTCTTAATGTCAACTCGTTTATAGTTTAGTCATGTTTAAGCTCCCTTTTTTTCCGTCCTCTCCTTTATTATGTCATTTTAAGACCTTTAATGTCTCTCTTCTTTTTTTCTTGATATGTTTCTTTTCTTTCTGTAAGTCTCCTTTCGTCTTTACGTCTCTTTTTTCTCCTTTATTCTCCTTTCTTAAATTTTCTTTAACTCTCTCTCGCCCTTCTCCTTTTCTGTTTATGTTTCCTTTCTTTCCGTTCTTTTTTTTTAGTCTTTCTTTAAGTCTTCTTTTTTCTAATGTCTCACTTTCTTGTTCTTTTTTGATGTAAGTCATCTTCTCTCTTTAAGCCTTCGTTAATCTCTTCTTTTATTTTCTCTTAAGTCTTTGTTAAGTCTCCTTTTTTTCTTGTCTCTCTTTCTTCTCTTGATATGAGTCCTTTCTCTGTTTAATTCTTCTTTAAGTCACCTTTCTTACGTCTTTTTAAAAGTCTTCTTTAAGTCTGTTATCTTTCCTTTTTTCTCATTACTTAAGTCTTTTTTTTGAGTTTCATTTCTTTCTTAACTGTCTCTTTCTTCTTGATGTTTTTTTTCTTTAAGTTTTCTTTAAGTTTCTTTCCTTCTCTTTTCTGCTTTTTTCACCTTTCTTAAGTAGCTCTTTCTTCCCGCGGACTCAGTATTCTGCGAACACAATTTGCCCATATTTTTAAATAGCGACGAAAAAATGCGCAAAGCGTCAAACATGGCTTTCACAGAAATTTGTGATACTTAATATCTTTTAAGTTATAATGCGAACATCAGCCTTTTGGTCTTATCCTTGTTTACCAACAGTAGCTGACCTGTCACTGCCTGTCATTAAAAATTCTCCTTGTTCACTAGAATTACGATTAACTCTGCTGATCTATATATTTACTGTGCCGTTCCATGAACATTCACCAACATTCACTAATGTATTCTCCTTCCAAATATAGATATTCTATAACATTTTGCTTTTTTTATGTGTCCAAAAAAAGGCAGCCATTTTGAAAGTGGACTCCGTGTAAGGAAAACATGCAGATTTCTGTGGTTTCTAAGAATGTTAGTGCTTATAGCTAAAAAAGACGTTATTCTGAGAATACGACGGATTGAACATGTGAGCAATGCGGAAGTTTTAGAGAAAATGGAAACAGAAAAGATACTTATACCTAACATCAGAAAACAGTGTTGAAATTTCTCGGGCACATAACGAAAAAAAAAAATCTTGGAGAGTTTGACGCTCACAGGGCATATTGAAGGCAAAGAAGGACAGCAGAAAGCAGCGCATAGACTGCCTAACGAGCTTGTGTAAATGGCTGTCAGAACAGGAATTAGGAGATATAGCAAAAAGACAAACTTTACTAGGGGCTACAAAAGAACAAGATGTTGTGTAGAGCCATGATTTACTTACGTTCTGAAGGAATACAGCATTACTTTTTGAAGAAACTTCGTATTTTTAATAAGAGTAAAATGCTTCGATAAAGCTAAAATTATGAAATGACATTGATTTATTCGTGGAAAGAGATATATTAGTCATGAAATCAGAATATAATAAGGAGATCAGTGAGGTCGAATCTGGGATTGGTCTGCAAGTTGAAGCTTGTTAACCATTACACTACGCCAACTACCTCAGGAAAATATTTACTTGAATATGGTATAAGTGTGCGTTGTGGTTTAATGGACATAGGCTCGGAATAAGGAGAGACAAGTAAGAATTCCAGTGGAGTTTGTTAAATTCACATAGGCGCAAATACACTTAGGGAAGGTATGTAACCATCTTTTCTCTCACCCCCACCAGCTATGGGATGAATAGCAAACAGATTGGGTCCTATAAATTTGGTTTGGAAACCCGTCTACTGCGGGAAAATATTCTGCCTCGTCACTTATTTAATCGAAATGGACATAATTGCCCAAGTGTGTATCACGTATGGCATTAAACTGAAGTACTTACCAGTTTCCTAAAACTAATGTGGATAAATGGAAGCAGGCAAAACCATGAGTGAAACGTTTATATATTTCCGGAGAGAGAGAGAGAGAGAGAGAGAGAGAGAGAGAGAGAGAGAGTCTAAAAACAAAGCTAATTGCATAGAAAGATTAAACAGTGATTCTTATTTTTAGATTTTATTTACTGTGCAAGGAATTCTAAAGTGTTAACTCGGTGTATTGATCAGTTATAACAAATTTAGGATAGAAGATAGGATATTGAACTGTGTAGGAGTAGTTTTGTCAAGCACCGCAAACCAAAACATTAACCTAAGAACTCGAGTCATGTATTTAATTAGCCTCGTCAGATCGAAACTTTCATATAGATACTTGCAGCATGTTCCGGCGTTGCCCATGCTCGATTCAAAAAATCGTACGACTCATACAGCAATCGATATTACTTGACTTAAAATATTTTTGCCCTTCCATGCCTTTTTTAAAGGAGTGCCCTTTGTCGTGCTGATGTTGCTACATGCCTTACTTCTTGCCTATCTCACACTGTGAATTTTTCTAAGCTCTATACTAAACATTAAATATGTTACGAAAAAGAACTAAACAAAATGAACACAAAACGATCAGCTTTTAAAAAAGGACTCGTAACTGGAAAACTGAAAAAAAAGAATGTTAACAAAATATTTTTCACACCCAACCCAGTTCAGCGGAATCATAATCAACGTTGAGTTTAAGCGAGCGAATGAGCCAATTGGAGTAAAGTGACATGCAGATTTAAATTTTTCCCATCTTCCTGCCTATTCGTGGCAGCCAAATATAGCTCTCCTCTGGCCAATAGAAAATGGGCGCAAACTACATAAAAAACTGCTGTAGAAGCATGAAAAATCGATTTCCCCCCTATCGATGGAGTTGGTAAATGCAACGTCGGTCTTGGCCTTTCCACTAACTTGGAGCATGTGTATGTAGGTTTGGTGCAGATCCATTTGAAATTGCGGCTGTGCATTCAGCACACACACACATCCTGCCTTTATATATATATATAATATATATATATATATATATATATATATATATACAATTTTATACAATGTACAATGTTGCATTTGTTTATTTTAATATTTCTTGTGTTTTATCATTTTCTTTTCTGGACGTAAATTATGTAGAAATTCTCCGAATATTCAGTATGTCTGATCGCTTTTTGGCTACACTTTTAGCCATTATCATGATCATTTTATTCCTACATTTTTTTTTTTTTAATAATGCTTCGATTATTTTTATTTTTTTTTTTATATGTGGTTGAGGCTATTCGTATAATTTCTATATAATTTATATCTAAAAAAGGATTAAATTATAAGAAATATTAAAATAAAATTAAACGCCGTTCCGTTTCGGTCGTTTTTGATGAAGCCTCTATAAAAGATCGATTGCTTTTGAAATACGCAATGATGTTCTTGTTTTTACCTGTACAGATTTCAGGCTCGAATCAAGTTTTTTCTTATTTTTAACAAGGGTTGTGACCGGCTAATACAATGCCATATCTTTTTGAAGTGGATGCTAAACGTTCAGAAAGATAGATCCTATGTCAGGCGTAAAAATTTTGTGATATTTGCTTTAGCCAAATATTGTTGACATACTGCATTAGGTTAGGCCAATCATTCAAGTGGACATTGATTGTTTGCCTTTCAAAAATGTGTCGACATTAATATTCCGCTTGCTAAAACATCAGCCTCTGGCAACGTTATTTATCTTATTTGCAGGTCAAACGCCTACAGTTAACTTTATTCTTTAAGAATTCGCCGTTTAAAGAAACAGTGCTTTAGTGTGTTATTATTACATAACACAAATTGAGATAAGATTTGAAACGCTATTTTAAACAGTGATATGAAAGCGAAAGATATTACCAAACAAATTTAACAAAGTAAATGCGTAAGAAACTAAGGTGTTTGTGCATGTTTTGTTTAATAATAAGACTGTAATACTGTTGTGATCATGTAAATGGTTAAGGAAATAACAAAACATGTGCTACAGATATATTATACATTAAACAGTAAGTACAACAGAAGAGCATTTATACGACTAGTGAGTGTGTGTCGCTTGACCGGGCGTTCAATCTATCCGACTGTTATATTTTAACCCCGCCACGCGAGGTATGTATGTGGCAGAAAGCCGAGTTTGCCGTGGGTTCTTCGAGTCCGTAGGCTCGGCCAAAATATTCCTTAGAAGTCATATAACGAGTTCAGGGTCTGTACCTCCTCGGACGAAACTTTACCCCTTCGGCAAAGCCTCGTTCGAGTTCCTCTCTGCTCAAGGCAGGAGTTTGACAGTAACGATTAATCTATTCGACTGGAAATGCGGCACAAGGCCAAGTTTAACGTGGGTTTCTCCGAGCCCCTAGACGGGTTCAGGGACTGTCTACCTCCCGGACGAAACTTTTGCCCTGCTTCAAAGCCTCGTCCGAGTTCATCACTGCTGAGGCAGAGAGTTTACAGAGTTTCATATGTATGAGACTCTTACTCCAAGGCCTTCTCTCCTACTAATCTTATAGTAGGCGGAAGAGTCCAACATAGACTTTAGGAGGAAGGACACCACAACAAATAAAAAGAATTCTCAGAAAGAACTTGTCTCAGCTGAAATCTCTTACATATTTAAAGCGATATGACTGCTTCTAGTTATCTGAAAATACAAGGCTCAAGATACTCTCAAGCTAGAGGGATATTGATTGATTATCTGTTTTATGCGACTTTTGTAAACTCATTGTAGGTTATTTAAAGCCAAAAAAATATTTTAGATTTAAGAATATTTTAATGATAAAATGAATTGGGAATATAAATCTTATTAATTAACCCGTAGATGAGGGCAGAAGTGTTGAATTTTTTCCAGGGTGTTTGCGTGCAAATGAATATAATGAACCCAACAGGAAATGGAACCAGGCTCTCTGTTTAACAATTTCAGTCATTTTTCTTTTTCACCTTCACATCCAAAAATTACAGCACCTGGTATTCCATCTGTTCATAGGTTCCATTTTTGCTTAATTTTGCTGATCGTACGTGAACAGGCGTTTCAATGTAATATGTCCGTTCGGCTGTCGCAAACTGAGCATGAATAGGATGTAAGTATAAATTATTGCGGATATGTCAAGTTTACTCTGACAGTTGAAGAGGTAAAGAAATCATTGATGTAAAATGCATCCTCTTGGAGGTCTGTTCAACAAAATAATGGGAAAAGTTGGACTTTCTTCTTACGAAACTCGACCTTATGTACAAGCTGCATGGTGGGTCTTAGATGTAAAAGTCTGAATTGCTAGAACTAAATAATGAAGTTGATCAGAAAAAAAATTCTTGGAAATAGCGATAGAGAGGCCTATGGAATTTCGGCTCTGGGAAAAAAGGACTTGTAGAGTTGAAAAGAATTTTAATTCTGTCATGTCTGGGAAGGGATTGGACCGCTCAAGACCATGTATCGGGCAGTGGTACTACACTTTTTGGTCTGATTTGATTATTTAAAAAATAAAGCATAGTAGGAAGGGTAAGACACTTTCGGGAGCAGTAAACGAAATAAATTACAGTTAAAAATATATCGAATGTCTACTCAAATATGGGTATCCTTTAAAAATAACGTTTAAATTTTATATATATATAAAATATATATATATATATATATGTGAAAAAGTATATAAATATAAACAAATATATATATGTATA